CCGCACCCCGCCGCACCCCGCCGCACCCCGCCGCACCCTGCCGCACCCCACCTCGCCCCTTGCGAGAGTTTGAATTTCGCCGTGCGACTGATGACAGGAAGTCATAAAGTTGACTTCCACCGCCCGCCCTCCTCTTCACCTCCGAGCTAAATGCATAGACAAAGAAGGCCCGCTGTGCGGTCAGGGTCTGGTGGGGGCGGGGCGGGAGGCGGGGTCGGCTACTTGCAGAGGTAGGTTTGTGTGTTTGTGTGTGCGCGCGCGCGTTTGTGTGTGTGTCCGCCGGCGTGGACCAGCACAGGGGAAAGTGATATGGCCGGTTCGCCCTACATTTGGTGATGTTTGATGCTTACCAGATGTGGGTGCTGTTTGAAGCTACGGCCTCGCTCACGGTGGGCCAAGACCCCGTCACACGCTACAGGGTGCCTCATAAGGCCGTCGGCTGGTGTCGCCTTCACCTTCGGTATGTTGTTAGTGTATAATCTCTACTCTAATCCCGAGGCCTCTCGCCGATCCGAGTGTGCCGATGGGTCCCGCGGCAAGACGGTGCGTGGCGCTGTTGAGCGTGGCTCCCCCCCCCCCCCTTTCCCCCGTGGCTTCCGCCACCTACACCGGCTCGCGCTCGCGGCGCCCAGGGACGGGTCTCGCGGTGCACACTTGCTGCAATGAGCTAGGAGTACTGGACAGCATCGGGGTCCGGCCTGGGGCCCTCAGCAGCATCCGGCACCCGCCAGCCGGCCAGCCTGAGCTGGCAGGTAAGCAGACGGGGCTCGGGCGTCCTGGACCCGCCCCCTCAGACTTTAGGTGTCCCATATGCATATTGGGGCGGTGCAGCCCTGCTGATGCAGACCGAAGGTTCGCCGGGCCGTCCGGCTGCTGGTCGGAGGAGACGTCGGCGAGGGTGACAGAGAGCGCGGCGACACGAAGAGAAGTCAGTTAAAGTTGAGCGGAGACCTGTGAGACACGTGTCGTTGGCTGAACGCTGCTGCCCCCGCGCGCGTCGTGCCGACCAGTTCACGTCCATCCCTACTCTTACCGTGTGTTTTGTGACTTTGTGACTTTGTGCGAAGACTCCGTCAGGATGCTGCGTGCTGAGCAGGTAAGTTCTCCATCAGTAGTGACCATGTCCCCTGTGCATGTAGTGAAGTGTGTCTGACGCGTGTGTTTGGCGCAGGGCTGGGCACCGGCGGGCGCGGAGCAAGCGGTGCGCGTGGAGGAGGGCGAGGCTCAGGTCTTGTGTATGCCCCCTGATGGCGAGTGTATGTACACGGCGTTGGCGCACCAGATGCGACACCAGGGCGTTGTCATGCGTGTGCCCGTCGCGGTGGGCGGCCCCGATCATATGGCATCGGCCGCCAGTCTGAGGAGGAACGCAGCCGTGTTCATGGAGACCAACAAGGAGCTGTACCTGGACCCAGCAGTCGCCCTCGTCCTGGACGAGCCCCGGCGGTACGCGAGGCTCATCGTGGACAGAGGGGTGCCGGACCGCGCGGCAGCCCTGGCCGCCGTGATAGACGGCGTTCGGCGGCCCGTTAGGGAGGGCGGCGCGTGGGGCAACAACGCGGCTCTGTCGGCGGTGGCCAGCCACTACAATGTTATCATCCGGGTGTACAACGAGGTGGACGGCCGAGGGCCGCGCGCCCCTGCCACGGACATAGTGCCGATGAAGAGGCGGCGGCGGCCGCCGCAGGCCACGCTGTGCATCGCGTATCGGCTCAGCCTAGCCCCGCGCGGCGACCGGGAGCGAGTAGAGCGCACACACTACGACAGCGTGGTGCAGGGCCCACCAGAGCCGCATCCTAGCGACGCGGGTAAGCGCGGGAAAGAGTGATGGCATCACCTGCACACAATTATGTTTGATAGTTATATAACTGAAATTTTAATTACTTACAAGGTCTGTTCAAATTCAAACAGGTTCCTCATCCGACGCGGACACTAAGAGGAAGCAGAAGCAGCAGAGGGACAGAGAAGCCAAAAAAGTTAGGGATGCGGCTGCTTCGGAGGCAGACAAGGAGAAAAAGCGGCAGAGGGACAGGGAGCGCGCGGCAGCTAAGGCTGCGGCTGCTTCGGAGGCAGACAAGG